AGATAATTGAGTCGGAATATGTATTTTTTGTTAAAAAAATGATAAAAAATATATATATACGGTGGTTTTTCCGGAAATTACTAGTTTTTGGTTAATGTGAGCATTTTTTGAGTACAATGGGGTGAGAATATGTGGAAATTAATGTAATAATTTTTTTCTCTTTGAGAAATTTTGATTTTTAGCGTTATTTTCGGATTTTTAAGTATTTTTTTGATATTTAAGAGCCTATAACTCCGAAATTTGACTTTCTATGAAAAAATGTTGTAGAGGAAAGTTGTTTGTATTTTTCTAATCTAAAGTAATATAAAGTTAAAAACATTGAAATTTGAAAAAATTGAATTTTTAAATTTTTGAAAGTACTGTAGTTTGTGTAATTTTCGACGAAAATGGCTGGCTAACGAACTCGATCTGTATTTTAACACTAACTTTGTGCATGCAAAGTTGCAAGTTGATACAATAAGTTTTTCAAAAGTTATCGTGGCGACACCATTGTGTCTACAGACAGACACGAAGACAGACATACGGACAGACACTTTTTTTAGACCATGTTTTTCGGACTCAGGGGACCCCAAAACGTCGAGATTTCATGAAATTAGCGAAAGTCAATTTTCGACCAAAACTAATACTTTCTCATATGATGAGAATGTAATAAAAAATTAGTTTTTTGCAAATAAGTCGAAAAGTTTTAAGTTTAGTAAAAAGTTGTCAACAGCAAAGTTGTAGCTGATGGTAAGACGAGAAAAAAAGTCTCTGGTAGCAAGCTCCCATAGGCAATAGTTTTGGAGATAATTGAGTCGGAATATGTATTTTTTGTTAAAAAAATGATAAAAAATATATATATACGGTGGTTTTTCCGGAAATTACTAGTTTTTGGTTAATGTGAGCATTTTTTGAGTACAATGGGGTGAGAATATGTGGAAATTAATGTAATAATTTTTTTCTCTTTGAGAAATTTTGATTTTTAGCGTTATTTTCGGATTTTTAAGTATTTTTTTGATATTTAAGAGCCTATAACTCCGAAATTTGACTTTCTATGAAAAAATGTTGTAGAGGAAAGTTGTTTGTATTTTTCTAATCTAAAGTAATATAAAGTTAAAAACATTGAAATTTGAAAAAATTGAATTTTTAAATTTTTGAAAGTACTGTAGTTTGTGTAATTTTCGACGAAAATGGCTGGCTAACGAACTCGATCTGTATTTTAACACTAACTTTGTGCATGCAAAGTTGCAAGTTGATACAATAAGTTTTTCAAAAGTTATCGTGGCGACACCATTGTGTCTACAGACAGACACGAAGACAGACATACGGACAGACACTTTTTTTAGACCATGTTTTTCGGACTCAGGGGACCCCAAAACGTCGAGATTTCATGAAATTAGCGAAAGTCAATTTTCGACCAAAACTAATACTTTCTCATATGATGAGAATGTAATAAAAAATTAGTTTTTTGCAAATAAGTCGAAAAGTTTTAAGTTTAGTAAAAAGTTGTCAACAGCAAAGTTGTAGCTGATGGTAAGACGAGAAAAAAAGTCTCTGGTAGCAAGCTCCCATAGGCAATAGTTTTGGAGATAATTGAGTCGGAATATGTATTTTTTGTTAAAAAAATGATAAAAAATATATATATACGGTGGTTTTTCCGGAAATTACTAGTTTTTGGTTAATGTGAGCATTTTTTGAGTACAATGGGGTGAGAATATGTGGAAATTAATGTAATAATTTTTTTCTCTTTGAGAAATTTTGATTTTTAGCGTTATTTTCGGATTTTTAAGTATTTTTTTGATATTTAAGAGCCTATAACTCCGAAATTTGACTTTCTATGAAAAAATGTTGTAGAGGAAAGTTGTTTGTATTTTTCTAATCTAAAGTAATATAAAGTTAAAAACATTGAAATTTGAAAAAATTGAATTTTTAAATTTTTGAAAGTACTGTAGTTTGTGTAATTTTCGACGAAAATGGCTGGCTAACGAACTCGATCTGTATTTTAACACTAACTTTGTGCATGCAAAGTTGCAAGTTGATACAATAAGTTTTTCAAAAGTTATCGTGGCGACACCATTGTGTCTACAGACAGACACGAAGACAGACATACGGACAGACACTTTTTTTAGACCATGTTTTTCGGACTCAGGGGACCCCAAAACGTCGAGATTTCATGAAATTAGCGAAAGTCAATTTTCGACCAAAACTAATACTTTCTCATATGATGAGAATGTAATAAAAAATTAGTTTTTTGCAAATAAGTCGAAAAGTTTTAAGTTTAGTAAAAAGTTGTCAACAGCAAAGTTGTAGCTGATGGTAAGACGAGAAAAAAAGTCTCTGGTAGCAAGCTCCCATAGGCAATAGTTTTGGAGATAATTGAGTCGGAATATGTATTTTTTGTTAAAAAAATGATAAAAAATATATATATACGGTGGTTTTTCCGGAAATTACTAGTTTTTGGTTAATGTGAGCATTTTTTGAGTACAATGGGGTGAGAATATGTGGAAATTAATGTAATAATTTTTTTCTCTTTGAGAAATTTTGATTTTTAGCGTTATTTTCGGATTTTTAAGTATTTTTTTGATATTTAAGAGCCTATAACTCCGAAATTTGACTTTCTATGAAAAAATGTTGTAGAGGAAAGTTGTTTGTATTTTTCTAATCTAAAGTAATATAAAGTTAAAAACATTGAAATTTGAAAAAATTGAATTTTTAAATTTTTGAAAGTACTGTAGTTTGTGTAATTTTCGACGAAAATGGCTGGCTAACGAACTCGATCTGTATTTTAACACTAACTTTGTGCATGCAAAGTTGCAAGTTGATACAATAAGTTTTTCAAAAGTTATCGTGGCGACACCATTGTGTCTACAGACAGACACGAAGACAGACATACGGACAGACACTTTTTTTAGACCATGTTTTTCGGACTCAGGGGACCCCAAAACGTCGAGATTTCATGAAATTAGCGAAAGTCAATTTTCGACCAAAACTAATACTTTCTCATATGATGAGAATGTAATAAAAAATTAGTTTTTTGCAAATAAGTCGAAAAGTTTTAAGTTTAGTAAAAAGTTGTCAACAGCAAAGTTGTAGCTGATGGTAAGACGAGAAAAAAAGTCTCTGGTAGCAAGCTCCCATAGGCAATAGTTTTGGAGATAATTGAGTCGGAATATGTATTTTTTGTTAAAAAAATGATAAAAAATATATATATACGGTGGTTTTTCCGGAAATTACTAGTTTTTGGTTAATGTGAGCATTTTTTGAGTACAATGGGGTGAGAATATGTGGAAATTAATGTAATAATTTTTTTCTCTTTGAGAAATTTTGATTTTTAGCGTTATTTTCGGATTTTTAAGTATTTTTTTGATATTTAAGAGCCTATAACTCCGAAATTTGACTTTCTATGAAAAAATGTTGTAGAGGAAAGTTGTTTGTATTTTTCTAATCTAAAGTAATATAAAGTTAAAAACATTGAAATTTGAAAAAATTGAATTTTTAAATTTTTGAAAGTACTGTAGTTTGTGTAATTTTCGACGAAAATGGCTGGCTAACGAACTCGATCTGTATTTTAACACTAACTTTGTGCATGCAAAGTTGCAAGTTGATACAATAAGTTTTTCAAAAGTTATCGTGGCGACACCATTGTGTCTACAGACAGACACGAAGACAGACATACGGACAGACACTTTTTTTAGACCATGTTTTTCGGACTCAGGGGACCCCAAAACGTCGAGATTTCATGAAATTAGCGAAAGTCAATTTTCGACCAAAACTAATACTTTCTCATATGATGAGAATGTAATAAAAAATTAGTTTTTTGCAAATAAGTCGAAAAGTTTTAAGTTTAGTAAAAAGTTGTCAACAGCAAAGTTGTAGCTGATGGTAAGACGAGAAAAAAAGTCTCTGGTAGCAAGCTCCCATAGGCAATAGTTTTGGAGATAATTGAGTCGGAATATGTATTTTTTGTTAAAAAAATGATAAAAAATATATATATACGGTGGTTTTTCCGGAAATTACTAGTTTTTGGTTAATGTGAGCATTTTTTGAGTACAATGGGGTGAGAATATGTGGAAATTAATGTAATAATTTTTTTCTCTTTGAGAAATTTTGATTTTTAGCGTTATTTTCGGATTTTTAAGTATTTTTTTGATATTTAAGAGCCTATAACTCCGAAATTTGACTTTCTATGAAAAAATGTTGTAGAGGAAAGTTGTTTGTATTTTTCTAATCTAAAGTAATATAAAGTTAAAAACATTGAAATTTGAAAAAATTGAATTTTTAAATTTTTGAAAGTACTGTAGTTTGTGTAATTTTCGACGAAAATGGCTGGCTAACGAACTCGATCTGTATTTTAACACTAACTTTGTGCATGCAAAGTTGCAAGTTGATACAATAAGTTTTTCAAAAGTTATCGTGGCGACACCATTGTGTCTACAGACAGACACGAAGACAGACATACGGACAGACACTTTTTTTAGACCATGTTTTTCGGACTCAGGGGACCCCAAAACGTCGAGATTTCATGAAATTAGCGAAAGTCAATTTTCGACCAAAACTAATACTTTCTCATATGATGAGAATGTAATAAAAAATTAGTTTTTTGCAAATAAGTCGAAAAGTTTTAAGTTTAGTAAAAAGTTGTCAACAGCAAAGTTGTAGCTGATGGTAAGACGAGAAAAAAAGTCTCTGGTAGCAAGCTCCCATAGGCAATAGTTTTGGAGATAATTGAGTCGGAATATGTATTTTTTGTTAAAAAAATGATAAAAAATATATATATACGGTGGTTTTTCCGGAAATTACTAGTTTTTGGTTAATGTGAGCATTTTTTGAGTACAATGGGGTGAGAATATGTGGAAATTAATGTAATAATTTTTTTCTCTTTGAGAAATTTTGATTTTTAGCGTTATTTTCGGATTTTTAAGTATTTTTTTGATATTTAAGAGCCTATAACTCCGAAATTTGACTTTCTATAAAAAAATGTTGTAGAGGAAAGTTGTTTGTATTTTTCTAATCTAAAGTATGTAACGTGACGTTACAAATTCTCCCGCGTCTGCCGTGAATGAGGCGATTGAACCCGGAAACGGCCGAAGGGCCTCGAGGGTGTCAATCGCCGAATTCGCGAACAGACGCGACACTTGTTGTTAGACCACGACACTTATCTCGTCATTTCCCTCAATTATATATCTCGCTCGTGATTCCGTGTGTGATTTTCCTTCGCTGTAAGTTCGACTGCCGTCCAGTGTTTTGGATTATCGACATTCGTAAGTTCAATAAATATTTTTAATAATATTAACTCTATTTATTTACAATTCTCCCTTCCTTCACACCTTTTCCTTCACAACATAATTGGAGATCCGGGCAACCAATTATAAATTGGCGCCCAACGAAAAAACCCATCTTTCCATTCCTTTTTCTGAAAGAAAATCCTTCAGAAATACCTTTTTTCAACATCTTTGTTTTGTTGAAAATTCCCAAAGTAATTTTTTCATAATTTTGTTTATGGAAAACCCCAGAAAATTCATTTATTTTTTCATCATTTTTTAATTGTTGAAAATTCCACCTGTCACCTCATGGCCACCTAACCCCCAAATCAAATCTTTTTTCCTGTTTCCCATATTTATTTAAACATTTTTCTATTTTGTGCATGAAGATTATTGATATTTATTATTGTTATATTGTATATTTTGACAAATATGACAAATTTTTCATGTGACTGACACAGACAACGACGAAAATTGTGTGAAAATAAGTGCGCGAAAAAGCCGGTAAAAAATTAATCGTGAAAATTCTTTAAAATCGTGACTAAATTCGTGAAAATCAACGAAAATTAGTGAAAATTAATGAAAATTACGGAATATAAAATCGAAAATTAAAAAGAAAAAGTGAATTTATCGATTATTTTTGGAAATATTTCGCAATAGATAGACGCCGGTAGCATTATTTTCATTGTCAAGGTCGTGTATAGTGTAGCGCAAGTAACAACAGAAAAAACACAAACACGACATAGTCGCGAATAAATTGAAAAATAATTTCGTCAAAATTCAGAAATAGAATTTGTATACGCGGTGTCAAATTAAATTTAATCGAAAATTTAGAAAATAAAACTTTGTGAAAAATCGATGCGTATACCGGGTGACTCAAAAATTTAATATCGAGAAAAACTTAGAATATAAAGACACAGTGACCAACTTATACCGGGTGACACATTTGAACAGTCGTTTAATAGGAAGTAGATCCAAATAGTGATAACAATTAATAAATAAATTTAATTCCGGATAATAAATGAAAATTAATTGTTGAAAATACGTGGAAAAATTTTCTTTTATTTTTTTTTCTTTCGGTTTTCGATATTAACCAGTTAGAAAGATAGTAAAAATTTTTTTTTGCGACTTATACCGGGTGTGTCAAAAGTGTCAATTTATTTTTTTTTTCTTTTTCTTTTTCTTTTCGAATTTTTCGAAATAGAACGTGTAATTAATTTTTGTTTTCGGAAAAACACATAGATAGAAAATAAATTTCAGAAAAATTGTTGAAAAATAGTTCGAACATTTGTGATTGAAGTCAAAGAGCAATAGAAACTTTTTTCTCACATAGAATCCATAACGATGGATATAAATTAGCGGAAAATTTTTTCTTTTTTTGCTTTTTGGCGTGAATTGAAATTTGTAGAATAGATTAAATAACGATTTGAATTTAACTCTAACTTTTCGATAATTAATCACAAATGACTTCGAGACGTATTTTGAGATCAACAACGAGAAAAATGCGGGAAGACAAGGAAACAGAAAATTTTGCGGACAGCGAAACGGAAACGGCGAGCGAAACTGACTCCCCCCCCAAACAAAATACTCCCGGCCAAAAGGATGCGCAAAACAAGTCGCATATTTTGGAAGCCACTATCCAGAGGCAAGAAGCAATGCTTCGTGCCTTCATGGAAATCACACCTCCAGAAAAATTGAAATTATTAAATTTCGATTCATCGTTGCCACTCCCCCCTAAATCACAACAAGGCACAGCGAACGCATCTCTGCCCTTGTCCAAGCAGAGTGACCGAGAAAATGCACCCAGTGCAAATTCAATATTGCAGCAGTATTATAAAACGGTAAAGAAAACTGTTGGCAATTCGGAAAAATTAACGGAAAATTTTTCGGAAAAATCAAAAGACGGAACTTTTGATATTAATTCGTTTATAGGGACAAACAGCCAAATGATTAAAGATCGAAACGAATTAACAGCATACGACGAAATGCTTAGAATAGAAAGGGAAAAATTGCGTGAAAAAGAAAAGCGATTAGAAATCGAACATAGGAAAATTGTGCAGAAAAAATACAAACCGTCAGCACATAGTTCGGTAAACAAAAATAATCATAATAACAGTGATTCGGAAGATAGTTTTCGAACAAAATTAGATAATTATTTCGAGTCAGACAAACGCAAAATGAGGGAAAAAAGACAAAATGTCCAATTTAAAAATAAAAGTAAAAATCAAGAATTTAACTACGAATGGCCGAACGATAGTGAAATAGGAATCGTAGACGAACCCAAAAGTTTAGGAACTATTTCGAAAGAGAAAAACATTAATTTTCATCAGGAATTAAAAGAAAAATCAGCAGAGCTAGATCAATTCAAAAATGAAATATCGATACGCGATAAGGAATTAGATCAACTTAGATTAGAATTAGACCGAATGAAAATTACGATGGAAAATGTAATAAAAAATAAAAATCCAAATTTTGAAGAAAATAGCACGGAAAATTCGGAAATTGAAAATCCAAATGCCCAAGTAGACAACAATCGACATTTGGGAAACTTCAATAATCATTTTCCTTTTGGCATGTTACAAACACCTTTTCAAATCATGTCAAATTGGCCAGTTAAATTTCATAATAATAAAACGGACAACCCAGTTCAATTTTTAGAAGAATTATTTAGATTTATGCGAGGTTACGAAATCCCGGAAAATCGTGTGTTAGAAAATATCGACGCAGTGTTAGCGGACGAAGCCCTGGAATGGTGTAGAACGGTTCGACACAATTGGTTTTCTTTACAAGATTTTCGTGAAGAATTCGAAAGAACATTTCTGGACGAAAAGTTTTACGAAGAAATCAACACGAAAATAAAATATTGCAATCAGAAAGAGGGAGAAGAAATTCAAACTTTTCTGATTGGGATAAGAAAACTTTTTGCAAGAATTTACCCGCGAAAAGGTCTACAGTGGGAATTACGTCGTGCTTATGAAAACATGCGAATAGAATATAAAATGTACATTCAAAGAAACGATTTTAAAAATTTCGAGGAATTAGAAAGTTTAGGTAAAGAATTCGAAATTGAAAGAAATAAATCGAAAATTCGCGGACAAACGTTAACAATCACAACAGACAAAAAAGAAAACTCGACTAGTGATAAACCGAAACAAAACTCAAATCAGGGAAATTCTAGAGGATTTGGTGGAAGTTCGAAATTCCATTCAAAGTCTTCTGGAAACTATCATAGAAAATGGTCAAATGGCCAACCGAAAGTAACTTTTCCACCGGACACAACTACAAACGGTAGTAACGGTCAGAAAATGTTGGAAAATTCTTCTGAAAACCCAAATCCAGAAAATAGTCTTCAAGTAATAATACCAAACCATTCTTCTGCAGGGAATGGAATTAACAATGCCAAGACGAATCCAAACGGAAAAAATAACCAGAAAAATTTTTCTAATTCACCAAAAAAATGTTACGGATGCGGAAAAGTAGGTCATTTTCGTAGAGATTGTAGGTCGGAAAATCAGGGAAACGAGTAGAGGGGGTACTGAAAAATCCAGTATCCCCAAGAAATGTCGAAATACCAGAAAATTGTGATACGTTAATTAAAGACTTAAGATTCTTTACGAATATCAAATACAAAGAAGTAACTTTTAAAACCTTAATCGATACAGGTGCTACTAGTTCATTTTTCGGTCATAAAAATTGGGTATACTTACAAATGTATGGTATTAAATTAGAACCGGTGAAGAATAAACTTGTAACAGCAGCAAACGGTGAAAGTTTACAGATAATAGGTAAAGTTACAATACCTGTAGAAATTGGTAATGTTTCGAAAAATCTAACGTTTAGAATAGTTCCAGCATTAAAAGGTTACGGAATTTTAGGAATAGATATGTTACGCGAACTAGGAATGAAATTAGATTTCGAAACGGACACATGGTCACTGAAAGATTTACCTAACGTACTTTACAAAATCGGGAATAAATCAGATAACGAAATAGAAAAAATGAACAAAATCGAAACCAAAATACGTGAAGTAGGATCGCAAACAGGATGGTCCAGTTCACAACGAGAAAATCGGAAAAATTTCGCGCAAAAATCCCAAGAAAATAGGTCAAAATCAGGAAAAAATTTTGGACCAAAATTCGAGAATAAAAAGAAAATTCAGGAAAATTCGAGAAAAAATTCGAATTCGGAAAATCGGAAAATATAGATACGAAAAATAGTAGGAAAAATACGAAAATTTTTCCAAGGGTCGACCCGAGAAATGATAGAAAAATTCCAGAAATTATACAAAGACAATCCTTACAACAGTCGAAAATTCCTACCCAAAACCCAATCCCAAAACCCCGGAAAATTCCTCCAAGGTTAATGGACATTCCCTTATCAAACAGATTTGATAACTTAGAATTGGACTCTAGTCTTGACGAGACAGACGAACCATATCTCTTTCCAATCGACAACCCACGTAAAAAACAGTGGTATAAAAAAGCGGAATTGAATAGGAAAATTAGCGAACGCGAAAAATGTTCGGAAAATTGGCGAAAACGAGAAAATTCGCGAAAAGTAGAAAAAGAAAATGAATCGGAAAAATTGAAAGCCGAAAATTTAGGATCGAAAAATTGTATGACAACTGGAAATAAATTTCGTAAATCGTTAAATACGAAATGGATAAACTTTAAAAACAACGGGATAATTAACAACAATATTCAGGAAAAAATATTGCGAGAACCGAGTTGTTTAGAGGAAACAGAATTTTGTTCAGGACTTGTTGAATTGTCCGAGGAAGAACAAGAATTCTTAAATAAATTTTTAAAAGTTAGATTACCACCCCCCGAGGAAATTTTAAAAGCTACTCATTTGACAGAACACGTTATTGACACGCAGGGTACAGCTCCAATAAAACAGAGATATTATTATGTATCGCCGAAAATTAAAGAGGAAATTATTAAGGAAATTAAGAGAATGTTACGCGAAGGTATTATTGAGCCGAGTAATAGCAATTGGTCGAATCCAATTGTTATGATCAAAAAAGCGAACGGTACATATAGATTATGCCTTGACTTCAGAAAAGTCAATGCAGTGACAAAAAAGGACCTATATCCGGTTCCGTTAATGGCCGAAATTTTAGATATGCTCAGAGCCGCGAAATACATTTCTAAAGTCGATTTGAAGTGGGCGTATAATCAAATCCCGTTGAGCGAAGAGTCCAAGGAAAAAACGGCTTTCGTAATTCCTGGTTTTGGAATGTTCCAATACAAGCGAATGCCGTTTGGACTTTGCAATGCTCCCGCAACGTTCCAACGATTAATGGACAAAATTATTACGCCTGACCTCAAACCGAAAGTTTTCTGTTATCTCGACGACATAATTATAGTTTCTCAAACGTTTGACGAACACATGAAATATCTGGAAATAGTATTAGGAAAATTAAAAGAAGCAGGGTTGACAGTTAATTTCGAAAAAAGTGAATTCGGTTGTGCGGAGGTAAAATACCTAGGTTTCGTAGTTAACGAAAGAGGACTGCAAATCGATGACGACAAAGTCAAAACCCATTCGAGAATTTCCGACTCCTAAAACTATTAAACAGTTACAACGTTTTATAGGAATGGTTAGCTGGTACCGACGATTTATCCCACATTTCGCTGAAATAATTGAACCGTTACAAAAATTACTACAAAAAATGTAAAATGGACTTGGACCGAAAATCAGGAAACAGCAAAATTAAAACTGATCGAGTTGTTGACGACAGCTCCGATCTTGAATCCCCCTGATTTTCAACACACTTTCATACTAGAAACTGACGCAAGTGACACGGGTCTAGGCGCAGTTTTGACGCAAGACATTGACGGTAAAAACGTAGTAGTTGCTTACGGAAGTAAAAATTTAAGCGAAACAGAGAGAAAATATTCGACAACAGAAAAGGAGTGTCTCGCGGTGAAAACGTTTATAGGAAAATTTCGACAATATTTAGAAGGTAGTCATTTTAAAGTAATAACTGATCACATTGCTTTAAAATGGCTACACAATTTGAAAAATCCTACAGGACGCTTGGCGAGATGGGCGTTGGAACTATCGGAACATGATTTCGAAATAATATATCGAAAAGGTTCAGCGAACGTAGTTCCAGATGCGTTGTCGAGAGTTTTCGAAGAAAAACAAGAAAATCCCGAGATACTAAAAATCGAATTAAGCGAAAGTCAAACTGAAAATACGTGGTACGAAACGAAAATGAGAATAATAAAATCAAAACCTCACGAACATGAAAACTGGCGAATTCGAGATAATCAATTATATTTTTATAGACCCGATCCGTTAAAATCTCCCCTCCTTAAAGATGAAAATCCGTGGAAATTAGTTATTCCGGAAAATTTGCGAAAACAAGTCTTAACAGAAAATCACGATAATGTACAGGCAGGACACTTAGGTGTAGAAAAAACTTTTCATAGAATTTGCGAAAATTTTTTCTGGCCAGGAATGTACACTGATATCGTGAAATATATAAGAAAATGTAAAATTTGTCAACAAACAAAAGCGAATAATAAACCGAAAATAGGACCAATGGGAAAAAGAATAGTTGAGGAGCCATGGACGATGGTTGCCTCAGACATTATAGGCCCGTTACCTCTTTCGAAAAATCGCAATAAATACATTTTAGTTTTCACCGATTTATTCACGAAATGGATAGAAATTATACCAATCAAGAAAGCGGATGGAAAAACTATCGAGACCGAATTTCACAAGAAAATTATTTCGAGATGGGGAACTCCCAGAATTTTAATTTCGGATAATGGCACCGAATATGCCAACAAAGTTATCAGGGAAATGTCGGAAAAATTCGGAATCAGGCATTCGTTTACTCCTAAGTACTACCCACAAGCGAACCCCACCGAAAGAACGAACAGATCAATCAAAACGGCCATAAAAGCTTACCTAGACAAAGAGCAAAATCTTTGGGATAAAGATATCGAAGATTTGCAATTTGCTCTAAATACAGCCAAACATTCATCAACAAAATTCACCCCAGCTTTTCTAAACTTAGGTCGTGAACTTCAACCTTTCCAAACACTGAAAAAAGATTTCGAAAATCCAGACGAAATTGAATTTCAGGAAGTTGACAAATGGACAGAAAGACTAAGACGATTACAAATTATTAAGGACGAAGTTCAACGAAATTTAGATAAAGCGAACGATAACCAAGCGAAATATTACAATTTGCGTAGGAGAAAATTAGAATTCGAAGTAGGAGATCTTGTATGGAAGAAAGACAAATCTCTTTCTAGCAAAGATCTAGGAATTGCGCGAAAATTGAAAAAAGATTTCGAAGGCCCATATAAAATAATTCGAAAAATTTCCCCCACAATGTATGAATTAGGGAAAATTCGTGGAAAATCGATAGGATCGTGGAATATAAACGATTTGCGAAAATTCGTGGAAAATAAAAATTAGAGAAAATGTTCAGCAAAATATAGAAACTTACTCAAAATCAGTAAAAATTCATAGGAAAATTAAATAGAAACATAAGAAAATTAGTTTAAAAATTAGAAAAATATTACACGAAAATCGAAGGAAAATTGTAGGAAAATAAGACAAAACAAACAATTATTTTTATTTTTTTTTACATTAACGAATGTGAACTAAAAATGAAAATTCATCTTTGCAGAAAATGAACCGAATCCACTTGAACACAGAAGGAACAAAAAAAACTACGTTAGAAGGAATTACCACAGAGATAAATAAAATGCAAGAGAAAATTAACAAAATTACAACAAAAATGAACAAATACAAGAACAAATATAACGAGCTGGAGGATAAACGACAAGAATTAAAAAATCAAATTAATAGATTAAACATTTGGAAAATAAATATAAATAAACCTCTAAACAACAACAGCAGCGAAGAAGAATCGAGTTCAGAACCGGAGACGGTAGTAGAAAATATAACCAACCAAGAAAGCCACAAGGAGAAAATCGACTACGAAATAAGGGAGGAGGAAACAAAGGAAGAAGATAACATGGAGATGATCGACTTCAGCAAACACGAATACTCAAAAGAAAAGGAAAAAGAAGTATTCCTCGGCAAGCTTCGCTGGCGCTGCGACCGCCGTAAAAAATTAGAGGAAAATGTAGAAGAGAGGAGGCTACAGGAAGAAGAATGGACGAGATTAAGAGAAGATAACAAGATAGAAATCGAAAAACTATTTGAAATCTCAACAACAAAAATAATAAGGAAGATAATATCACCACGAATTTAATTTTTCTTTATCATACTTTTTCTTTTCTCTTCGTATTTCTAATAAAATAATAATGATCTCAAAGTTCGTTACCAAAACAACAATTCAATTTTGTTCTCCACAATCAAAAAATTTCTGTTCTCTCGTATACACCTTCACAACTTTTTGTTCTCTTTTGCTTCCACATAAAATGCGCTTTTATTTTTCTTACTTAAACAACATACGAGATAATCATTAGAGATCAACAATGTAAAAACTATTGTACCTACAAAGAAATAAAATAAAACAATATACAAAATAACAAGACAATCACAAATTTTTGAAATTAATTAAAAAAAAGAAAAAAAAAAAAAAAAAAAATAAGAATAACACGAATAAAAAATTTTTTTTTTTTCATTTCTTCTAACAAATCTTTATTTTAATTTTTTTTTCTCTCAGTACAAATAAAAGGAAGATTCTTTTTTTTGTGGATTGTTACAGAAATAATGGAAAATAAGGAGATTTGGCCATGCCGATTTTGCTAGGAAAAACATAAGAAAATCACATTATCTACTTCACGACGAGTTTTGCCAAAAAAGGAACCTAAAGGCAAGAGCAGGTTACTGTGAGCCATCAGCCAACGGAAAGAAATATATACGAGCCAACTGGGACAAACGTCGAGAGGAATTGAAGGAATTTTTGGAGGAATAGCCTAGTAGAAAATTCAAAAAAATTAGCGGAAAACAATAGTAAAGAAATAGTTGAATTTTAAACTTCGATACAAATTAGTGAAGAATTTTAGAAAATTAGCCGAAAATTTTTTTTGTCTGTAAGGGGTTACACTTCGTCCCGTTTAGGGGTAGGGGGGTGTAACGTGACGTTACAAATTCTCCCGCGTCTGCCGTGAATGAGCGATTGAACCCGAAACGGCCGAAGGGCCTCGAGGGTGCAATCGCCGAATTCGCGAACAGACGCGACACTTGTTGTTAGACCACGACACTTATCTCGTCATTCCCTCAATTATATATCTCGCTCGTGATTCCGTGTGTGATTTTCCTTCGCTGTAAGTTCGACTGCCGTCCCAGTGTTTTGGATTATCGACATTCGTAAGTTCAATAAATATTTTAATAATATTAACTCTATTTATTTACAATTCTCCCTTCCTTCACACCTTTTCCTTCACAAACATAATTGGAGATCCGGGCACCAATTATAAGTAATATAAAGTTAAAAACATTGAAATTTGAAAAAATTGAATTTTTAAATTTTTGAAAGTACTGTAGTTTGTGTAATTTTCGACGAAAATGGCTGGCTAACGAACTCGATCTGTATTTTAACACTAACTTTGTGCATGCAAAGTTGCAAGTTGATACAATAAGTTTTTCAAAAGTTATCGTGGCGACACCATTGTGTCTACAGACAGACACGAAGACAGACATACGGACAGACACTTTTTTTAGACCATGTTTTTCGGACTCAGGGGACCCCAAAACGTCGAGATTTCATGAAATTAGCGAAAGTCAATTTTTCGACCAAAACTAATACTTTCTCATATGATGAGAATGTAATAAAAAATTAGTTTTTTGCAAATAAGTCGAAAAGTTTTAAGTTAGTAAAAGTTGTCAACAGCAAAGTTGTAGCTGATGGTAAGACGAGAAAAAAAGTCTCTGGTAGCAAGCTCCCATAGGCAATAGTTTTGGAGATAATTGAGTCGGAATATGGATTTTTTGTTAAAAAAATGATAAAAATATATATATACGGTGGTTTTTCCGGAAATTACTAGTTTTTGGTTAATGTGAGCATTTTTTTGAGTACAATGGGGTGAGAATATGTGGAAATTAATGTAATAATTTTTTTCTCTTTGAGAAATTTTGATTTTTAGCGTTATTTTCGGATTTTTTAGTATTTTTTTGATATTTAAGAGCCTATAACTCCGAAATTTGACTTTCTATGAAAAAATGTTGTAGAGGAAAGTTGTTTGTATTTTTCTAATCTAAAGTAATATAAAGTTAAAAACATTGAAATTTGAAAAAATTGAATTTTTAAATTTTTGAAAGTACTGTAGTTTGTGTAATTTTCGACGAAAATGGCTGGCTAACGAACTCGATCTGTATTTTAACACTAACTTTGTGCATGCAAAGTTGCAAGTTGATACAATAAGTTTTTCAAAAGTTATCGTGGCGACACCATTGTGTCTACAGACAGACACGAAGACAGACATACGGACAGACACTTTTTTTAGACCATGTTTTTCGGACTTAGGGGACCCCAAAACGTCGAGATTTCATGAAATTAGCGAAAGTCAATTTTCGACCAAAACTAATACTTTCTCATATGATGAGAATGTAATAAAAATTAGTTTTTGCAAATAAGTCGAAAAGTTTTAAGTTTAGTGAAAAGTTGTCAACAGCAAAGTTGTAGCTGATGGTAAGACGAGAAAAAAGTCTCTAGTAGCAAGCTCCCATAGGCAATAGTTTTGGAGATAATTGAGTCGGAATATGTATTTTTGTTAAAAAAATGATAAAAAATATATATATACGGTGGTTTTTTTCCGGAAATTACTAGTTTTTGGTTAATGTGAGCATTTTTTGAGTACAATGGGGTGAGAATATGTGGAAATTAATGTAATAATTTTTTTCTCTTTGAGAAATTTTGATTTTTAGCGTTATTTTCGGATTTTTAAGTATTTTTTTGATATTTAAGAGCCTATAACTCCGAAATTTGACTTTCTATGAAAAAATGTTGTAGAGGAAAGTTGTTTGTATTTTTCTAATCTAAAGTAATATAAAGTTAAAAACATTGAAATTTGAAAAAATTGAATTTTTAAATTTTTGAAAGTACTGTAGTTTGTGTAATTTTCGACGAAAATGGCTGGCTAACGAACTCGATCTGTATTTTAACACTAACTTTGTGCATGCAAAGTTGCAAGTTGATACAATAAGTTTTTCAAAAGTTATCGTGGCGACACCATTGTGTCTACAGACAGACACGAAGACAGACATACGGACAGACACTTTTTTTAGACCATGTTTTTCGGACTCAGGGGACCCCAAAACGTCGAGATTTCATGAAATTAGCGAAAGTCAATTTTCGACCAAAACTAATACTTTCTCATATGATGAGAATGTAATAAAAAATTAGTTTTTTGCAAATAAGTCGAAAAGTTTTAAGTTTAGTGAAAAAGTTGTCAACAGCAAAGTTGTAGCTGATGGTAAGACGAGAAAAAAAGTCTCTGGTAGCAAGCTCCCATAGGCAATAGTTTTGGAGATAATTGAGTCGGAATATGGATTTTTTGTTAAAAAAATGATAAAAAATATATATATACGGTGGTTTTTCCGGAAATTACTAGTTTTTGGTTAATGTGAGCATTTTTTTGAGTACAATGGGGTGAGAATATGTGGAAATTAATGTAATAATTTTTTTCTCTTTGAGAAATTTTGATTTTTTAGCGTTATTTTCGGATTTTTTTAGTATTTTTTTGTATTTAAGAGCCTATAACTCCGAAATTTGACTTTCTATGAAAAATGTTGTAGAGGAAAGTTGTTTGTATTTTTTCTAATCTAACGTAATATAAAGTTAAAAACATTGAAATTTAAAAAATTGAATTTTTTAAATTTTGAAAGTACTGTAGTTTGTGTAATTTTCGACGAAAATGGCTGGGCTAACGAACTCGATCTGTATTTTAACACTAACTTTGTGCATGCAAAGTTGCAAGTTGATACAATAAGTTTTTTCAAAGTTATCGTAGGCGACACCATTGTGTCTACCGACAGACACGAAGACAGACATACGGCCAGACACTTTTTTTAGACCATGTTTTTCGGACTCAGGGGGACCCCAAACGTCGAGATTTCATGAAATTAGCGAAAGTCAATTTTCGACCAAAACTAATACTTTCTCATATGATGAGAATGTAATAAAAAATTAGTTTTTTGCAAATAAGTCGAAAAGTTTAAGTTTAGTGAAAAGTTGTCAACAGCAAAGTTGTAGCTGATGGTAAGACGAGAAAAAAGTCTATGGTAGCAAGCTCCTCATAGGCAATAGTTTGGAGATAATTGAGTCGGAATATGGATTTTTTGTTAAAAAATGATAAAAAATATATATATACGGTGGTTTTTCCGGAAATACTAGTTTTTGGTTACTGTGAGCATTTTTTGAGTACAATGGGGTGAGAATATGTGGAAATTAATGTAATAATTTTTTTCTCTTTGAGAATTTTGATTTTTAGCGTTATTTTCGGATTTTTTAGTATTTTTTTTGCTATTTAAGAGCCTATAACTCCGAAATTTGACTTTCTATGAAAAAATGTTGTAGAGGAAAGTGTTTGTATTTTTCTAATCTAAAGTAATATGAAGTTAAAACATTGAAATTTGAAAAAATTGAATTTTTCAAATTTTTGAAAAGTACTGTAGTTTGTGTAATTTTCGACGAAAATGGCTGGCTAACGAACTCGATCTGTATTTTAACACTAACTTTGTGCATGCAAAGTTGCAAGTGATACAATAAGTTTTTCAAAAGTTATCGTGGCGACACCATTGTGTCTACAGACAGACACGAAGACAGACATACGGACAGACACTTTTTTTAGACCATGTTTTTCGGACTCAGGGGACCCCAAAACGTCGAGATTTCATGAAATTAGCGAAAGTCAATTTTCGACCAAAACTAATACTTTCTCATATGATGAGAATGTAATAAAAATTAGTTTTTGCAAATAAGTCGAAAAGTTTTAAGTTTAGTAAAAGTTGTCAACAGCAAAGTTGTAGCTGATGGTAAGACGAGAAAAAAGTCTCTGGTAGCAAGCTCCCATAGGCAATAGTTTTGGAGCTAATTGAGTCGGAATATGTATTTTTTGTTAAAAAAATGATAAAAATATATATATACGGTGGTTTTTCCGGAAATTACTAGTTTTTGGTTAATGTGAGCATTTTTTGAGTACAATGGGGTGAGATATGTGGAAATTAATGTAATAATTTTTTTCTCTTTGAGAAATTTTGATTTTTTTAGCGTTATTTTCGGATTTTTTAAGTATTTTTTTTTGA